AATCCAAATGAAATGTTTAATTAATATTTCTACTAATATGATCCAATTCTTTTGACAGTTTCCATTAGTCTCAAAATGTGGATACATCAGAAAACTAGTCTCCCAATCGTCCGACGCCGAACTCGCCGTGATCGAGCTCCGGGACGTGCCCGGTGGGCCCGACTCGTTCGAGCTGGCCGCCAAATTCTGCTACGGCATAAACTTCGAGATAACCACCGAGAACATAGCAGGGCTGAGGTGCGCGGCCGAGTACCTAGAGATGACTGAGGACTACTCGGTCGGGAACTTGGTCTCACGGGCCGAGTCTTACATAAACGAGGTGGCCCTCAAGAGCCTGGCTGGGGCAGTCTCGATTCTCCACTCGTCCGAGAACCTGTTCCCGGTAGCCGAGAAGGTGAAGCTCGTCGGCCGGTGCATCGACGCCATCGTGTTCGTGGCCTGCAAGGACAGCGAGTTCTCCGGGCCAGCGAGGTCTGGACAGAACGAATTGAAGCCCGTCGTCGATTGGTGGGCCGAGGACCTGACCGTGTTGAGGGTCGACATTTTCCAGAGGGTTCTGATCGCGATGGTAGCGAAGGGGTTCAAGCAGTACGCCCTCGGCCCGATTCTCATGCTGTACGCGCAAAAGTCTCTTAGGGGTTTGGTGAGGCCTTAATAACATTAACCCCTTGCAATTTTTCCACAACGCTTTTGACTTTCTTTGCATTCTGTTTCAGGACATATTCGGAAAGGGTCGGAAAAAAATCGAGCCGAGACAAGAGCACGAGAAACGGGTCGTTCTAGAGACGATCGTCAGCCTTCTTCCGAGAGAGCGGAACACAATGTCGGTCAGCTTCCTCTCGATGCTTCTAAGAGCGTCAATATACCTAGAAACAACGGTCGCGTGCAGGCTTGACCTCGAAAAACGGATGTCTACTCAGTTCAGTCAAGCAGTCTTAGACGACCTTTTGATCCCTTCTTATTCCTTTACTGGGGACACATTGTTCGATGTCGACACCGTGCAGCGCATCATGGTGAACTTTACAGAATCGGATTTGGAGGTGAACAGAGTGGACTCGAATGGTGACGAAGAGTATGTTTCACAATCGGCTAGTGATAAGGAGAAGGTGACGAAGCTGATGGAGAATTACCTTGCCGAGATAGCTTCGGATAGGAGTTTATCGGTGTCCAAGTTTATTGGTCTTGCTGAGGTCATACCTGAGCAGTCGAGGATGACGGAGGACGGGATGTATAGGGCCATCGACATTTACTTGAAGGTTTGTGCACCTCTTTTCTACTTTGTTTTCTTTGCCATTGTGAAAGCTAAAAGATGTCGAGATTCAGAGCTCGTAAATTTTCGATACACAAAAATCCACAGGCTCATCCAGCTCTCAGCGACATGGAGCGCAAGAAAGTGTGCAGCGTTATGGACTGCCAGAAGCTCTCGCGCGAGGCCTGTGCCCACGCGGCCCAAAACGACCGCCTTCCCGTCCAGACCGTCGTGCAGGTCCTCTACTACGAGCAGCAGCGCCTCCGGGAAGCCGTGGACGGGTCCGAGCCGTTCGCCCCTCCCGGGGCCCACCTGAGTCCATACTCGGTTGATGTCCATCCAGTGGACGACGAGGTCTCGGCCCTGAGGAGGGAGAACCAAGACCTCAAGCTCGAGCTCGTCAAACTGAAGATGAGGCTGAGGGAGATGGAGAGGCCTGGAGGCACGGATGGGAGGTCGCCGGCCGTGGGAAGCCCGGGTGTGGGGTCTGCGGACAAGCCGCCCTTGCCTCGGAAGTCGTTCATAAGCTCGGTCTCCAAGAAGCTGGGGAGGTTGATGAGGGCAGACGGGTTGACGCCTCAGGGGACTAAGGGGAGGACCAAGCCCAGCAAAGATAGGAGGCATTCCATATCGTGATGCTGTCTTTTTTCAAATTTATTTTTTCCCCCTTCTAATGGTTTTTTATGCTAAATAAAGAAAATGTGGGTTTTATTTTTTCCTTCTCTGTTTTTAGTTGTTTTTGGATTATATTTGTGTATTTTTTTTCTGTCTTTTTTCCTTGTTTATATTGTGATTTAGTGTGGTACATGTACAAATTACAGTTTTTCAGGTGCTTAAGTGTAAATAAGTTGCTTTGAACTTGGGGTCTCTTGTATTGATGATGAATTTGAGATGTATAATCCCATATTTGATCAGATCAGATACACAAATGTGAAAATATCTGTTTTCATCCCAGAATATAAATCTACCGAGTTTTTTTTTTTTTTTATCTTGTACTACCTCCTATTTTTAATATTTGTCGTTTTGAAAAGTTGCACACTAATTAAGAATATTTTTTTTTCAATAATAACCTTATTTAATGAAGATAGAGATAAATGTTTTGAAAAAAAGTGAAGAGTGAATATGAAAAGACGTAATGTATTTATTGGCTAAATGAGGGTAATAATGAAAAAATATGTACAAAAGATCCAAAACGACATTTATTTGGCAAATAGTTGAAAAAGCTAGAATGACATTTAAAAAAAAATAGGAGGGAGTAATTTACAAAGTAATATTGTTTACCAAAGAAAGTAAGAATAATTGTGTGATCAATCATTATACAACCATTGTGTGATCATCATGCGATCGATTGTGCGATCAGTTGTGTGATCGTGTGATGCAATATATGCTATGGTCATTTTACGATCATATTGTGCGACCATTGTGCGGTCATGCATACAATGGGGTCATTGTGCGATCATATTGAACGATCATCGTGCGATCTTTTTTTGTGCAATCTAGGGGTGAAACAGAAGTGTACTGAAAATGTGATGTGTAAAAGAAAGCATTACTATCATGCTTTTATTTATTTTACTTTTTAGATTAGTAAATCAGTTTGAAAGTATGCATATCGGTTGAAAAATTATGGTTTCTAAGTTCTCGTGATATGTCAAGAAAAACAAGAAAATCAAAGGGAAATTACTGCTTCATGTATTTGGGTGCACACTGTACATAAATAACTAAGATCATCTTCAGTTGTTTACTCTACTTTATAGTATAGTTAAACCAAATTCATATTTTATCCCCAACCATTTACTTTACATTTTACTCTAGAATTATTAATTTCAATTAATTATACATAAACTAGTAACTGACTTGTGCATTTGCGTAGAAGACGAATTATTAGAAGAGAAAACAATACAAAGAGAAAAACAAAAATTACAAATCACAAATTAATTAATGAAAAAATTTGAATTAAGAAATGAATTCTAAAATATTATTAAAAACATCATTATATACAACATTCATGGTTTCTTTATCGTTAGATTTCTCATCACCACATATCATTATATTAAAATTGTTATGATTCTAAACTCTGGAAAGAACCACATACAACGGTTCATGACTAAAAACAGGGTTCTCCAGTACTAAGCTGATGGATAGAGACTAACCTTGACTCTTATGGATCGTCATTGCATAGGAAATCATGATAAGAAAATGTCTTCACTGGAACTTGAATGGTACCATCAAATCAAACGGAATGATTGTGAGCCTAGGAATAAGAACCTTATCACTAGTTCTGGACCGGTTAAAATTTTGCATTCGAAGATATGTCTACTGAACTCAGTAATAACCAAACGTGTAACGTTGCACAATCCCATTGCATGATCAATGTTCCTCAATAATATCATTAGAATACCGATATTTAAGTGTAATTTATCATTCGAAATTCACGAGCACTTAATCCTATTCAAAAATTCTGAAGTATTAAGATCTTAAAGAGACTTATATCCAACATTTGATTTTCAAAACCGAACTCAAATAATCATTCCCTTGGGGAATTTCAATGAGCCCACATACTTGTTAACCGACTCATCCACATCAACCGTGGGGGTGAGTATCCATACTCTATTCTTCAGTAGCTAAGGTCATCACCTGAACTCTTGAACATTGGGTAGACACTCTCATAAATAGAAACAATAATATCCTCTTATGATTTTAAAATAATATCATCTGGAATGTAAATATCCACACAACCATAGTTCGATCAACCGAGTGTTACATCTCCAATGCTCACAAGCACTCCGAGAAGCGCTATAACTAATTGTACTTGTTGTTATGTGATTGTTAACAACGATTACGTAGATGTTTAATTAAGTCGTTTGAATAATTGTGAACGTAAGGCATGTAATCAAAACACAACAATGGCCCCGGTCCGAGGTGAACCGAGGTGAAAGGTGGCGCAGTTTTTATATATGCGTATTGAATGTTCAGAGAGCGATCCTTGTACAAGAGCATAAATGTGCTATTTATAGTAGCTTTTCGTGCTCGTAGCTCGAGGTGTACGGTAACTTTTTCTTGTAAAGTAGCCTTTGATGGGCGGTCATGTGAGTGGATCCCACTTGAATGATGATGGATCTCGTGATGTGTGAGGTTTGCGCGTAGGCGCCTTGTCACCAGCTTCGGGAATAGTGACCTCGGTTCGCGGGGACTTCGGTATAAGATAGCCTCGGCTCAGGATGACCTCGGTTCGATGATCGCCTCGGTTTTATGTGACCAGGCCGGTTTAGTAGGCAAACCGAGATTATCGTGGACTATGTCGGTGCTTGTAATTAATCCCTCCAAAATGCAGTTTTGAGGTTGGTAATTTTGATTACCGAATCGGATGATAACAGAGAGGCCCCCCAGTATCGGCGGGCATACGAAGTGATGGTCGTTGATACTGTCAAACGGATTGAGACACTGAGTCGGTAATAAGCTGAAGGGCGGAAATGCTTGCTCTGATACGTTTGTATATACGAAGTGGCCGAAGTGGGTCATATGATCCGGGGTGAAGGCCATTTTCCGAGGTGAGAACACTTGGCAAAAAATTATGCGAGTTATGGGCAGCATGGGAAAAAATTGAAAGGACGTAACGGTCGGCCATTAAATAGGTAGTGTGAAGGGTCGCACCGTAATGGTATTAAATGAAATAACACCACTTTAATAGGGTGCCACGTGTACAGTAGGTTCTGTTAGATGAAGGGGTTGCACCATTTGAGATCAGGGGTCGCGTCGGTTATACGCGCCTCTAATTGAGAACCCTAACGGTCGGAAACCGAGAATTATAAATAGGGCACAAAGGATTTCGATTAAACTTTCTTTACTTTTGCTTCTGTTTTTGAATCTTCTGCGAATGGCCTTCTAGTTGTCGAATTTCTTCTGCCAAATCGAGAGTTGTTCTTTGTGTGTGTTTGTCTGTCACCGAATTCTTGGGTAAGTTTTGTTGTTGCTTTTTTGTCTATTTCCTTGTATCGCATCTTTCTTTCTATTTGATGGCGTCGAAAGGAAAGGGTAAGGCCGTTGCAAGTTCGTCCAGTACCGAGTCGGTCCCACTGGAGGTGTACCATGACTCGAAATTGGTTGAATTAGCTTTTGAGTATCATCGGTGGGATCCTATGTTGGTGAGACACCTTGACATCAAACCAAACGACGAGGACGGCGATTGTGTGGTGGAGGAAAACGTGGCAGATCTTGAAGAACCTCATTGGAGGAGGCCGGTGAGGAAGTGGCCTGACCCGGCGATCGATTTTGAAGGGGAGCCCAGTATTCTGACGGATGCCGATGTGGTGATGCTCTGGGAACAAATACGGATCCCGCCCTCGGTGAAGATTTTTGCGCCTTACCCGGGGAAAAGGATAACTAGCCCCCCTCCGGGTTGTGTTGGTATTTTTACAGAGAGTCTGAGGTCGGGACTGAGATTTCTGCTGCCGAATCTGATTACGGAATATCTCCGAAGTTGGGGGTTACCATTGTGCCAAATAACACCGAATAGTTGAATAAAAATTATCGGATTGATGGTGTTGTTACATGAGAGGGGCGAGGGTTTGCCGTCATGTGAGGAAATAAGAAGCATTTATGCTTTTAAGAAGAGCCCGAAGAGGAGAGTGGCGGAGACTTCATGTTTTTTTTTGCCGGAGCAAAACCTCAGCATGGTCTTCAAGTCGGTGAAATAATAACCGAGATCCCGGAGACACTTCATGGTTTTCAGGAGAAATGGTTGTGGGTTGGTGGAGAATGGCAGTCCGAAAGTTTTTTCCATGAACCTCGGATAGACGTGATGACAATTCTGATGAATGTTCATTCCGGAGCGAGTGAGTTTATTTTGTTCTTTATTCCTTGTATATTTCTCTGATGTTGGTTTTGTTCTGTGTACTAACAGGTTGGAACTTTTACCCTTTGTAGAAAAAGAGACGAAGCAGAAGGAGCCGAAACTCAGTCCGGAATTCGGTGGGAAGTTACTTGTGATTGCTAGCTTGGACAGAGATATCCAGGATTATAGGAAGCTTGTAGTAGATTCGAACTCGAGGCTGCTGGTTTGTCTCCTGGAGTATCAACTTCTAGATTTGATCCCGGTAAGATAGATTAATTCCTTCTTTTTAACGAGCACTTTGGTATGATCGTGATAATTGTTCTCTGATATGTATACCTTACATTTGTTTATGCAGTATACTACCCGTTACTAGGCTTTTCCGGATACCGAACTGTTAAGGACGCCAAAGACATTAGGCGTCGTTATCCGAATAAGGATTTGCAATCAAAGTTTGGTAAGAGCCGAGACTTGCGATTGACCAACGCCATGAGGAGAGACTTGGTCCGAGCTTTGGTGAAGGGGACCTCTGGCAGAAATGCTACTGGTAAGAAATCTGCTGACGTTGGAGCTGGTGCGACGTCGGTAGTAAACTCAGAAAGTCCGAAGTCTCAACAAGAGGTGGTTTCTGCCGAGGTGCCACCAGTTGTGAATGCTCTGGTGATTAACCAGGCCGAGCCAGAAGAAAACTTGATAGGAACCGAATTGGCTGTGGCTGAACAAACGCACATCGAAGTGCCTGAGAAGCAGCCGTCTCCTCCGAGATCACTGGAGATTGTGCAACCAGAGAAGAAAAAGAAACGAAAAT